AACTTGATTCCTCATCCATCTTGTAGAGTCTTCGCTCTTCGAGAGTTGTGTAGATTTTTGTAGACATGTGAAATTTTTAGTAGTTTTCTTAAAATTGTCAGTATTTAAGAGAATTATTTGTAAGTCCCATAACAATATCATACAACATAAGATACCAACTTGTGAAGCAACAGTTATCCTAAATATCTGACGTGGCACAATATGGTTTTCCTCACTTTTCAGTACTTGCATAGCTCTAATGAGTATACCATAAAACAGTGCACTAGTGAAGGGACCTTACTTTAAATACTAAGTCAATTAGCACTACAAGAAAAAATGTGATTAGCGACAAATTGTTGGGCGACCAAACTTTTTTTGGTATCTGGTGATGTCAATGGTGACCAAAACCTTAAGAACCCTCTACATAATAAACATAGGGTCCATTTATTAGTAGTTTGATAGGAAGCATGATTGGAGATGGGTTTTCTCATTTCCTCCTTAAATTTTATCTAAGGAGACGGTTTAGGGAGTCCATTGTGAATGCTCTTAACCACTTACCCAAAAAACAACAACTTGCAAATTTATTGTGTCAAAACCCAAAAACCAACTAGCTTCTCTTAAATTCTAAACCAATTAGGAACCCCTAAGTGGAAAAATACAAAGTTAGGTTATTTTCACAACTGGTTCCTAAGCTTCACGAAATTATCATCTCATCTCATCTCATGACAGTTTAGCCAAATGGGTAGGAGAGGAACTACAAAGATGGAAAGTATTTTTCACCCATTTGTACGTAAGCTCGGATATAAAAATGCAAAACAAACCTTGAAATTCAACAGGTGCCACACAAATCATAAAAATATGAAGAAGGCTAATACTATTGTCCTCTTGGTCATTGCAACTTGTGAGTTTTCCTCACAACTTTTTTTTTTTTGGGGTCAAATTTAGGAAGAGGGAGTGATTTCTCACACACACACATACACACTACCAAGGTACCATGGGAGTTTAAATATGAGACCACTATTCTGCAAGTTAGGACTTTATTCACTAGGCTAGATCTTGTTAGCAACTTTTTCTCACTACTTCAATTCTTCCACGGGACTAATAAAAATATTTGACATGGGTCCATATCAGAAAGCATAAATTTGGGCTTTATTTGAAATCAGAAGTTAGCCCAAGAGGTTTAAGAGGCCCAAATCTTTGTAAAAAAAAATTTGCAAGGATTAAAATCACATATTAAAGATTAATTACCATTAAATGGCGACTTAATCTGAACAAATCAAAGCTTCTAATCGATTACAAGATTAGCACTAGCTTCTAAAAAACTCTCATCACCGTTGATCTCAATCTCAGAGGGCTAGTCATCATATTTTCTAGGAAGATTTGTTCTCAAAAACAACCCACATGACTTTTTTACTTTGAAAAAGTCAATATTGTCAACCCTATGGTTCATAAAATGTCAATTCTATAATATTATAATAGTTGAATTAGCATCATGTGGCAGTGTGATTTTCACATCCAAAAACTTTCATACTTACTATTCTTAAGAAGTTAACTAGATCAAAACAAATGCATTTCAAAGTCTTTTTCCTTATCTTGAAGATATATATTTTATTTGCAAGAACAATCGAAAATCGTAAGAATTTGGAATCTATTATACACAAAAAATCAATAAAATAAAGAGATATAATTTTATACTAAGGGCTAGTTTGACATTATTGTGCTGTGAAAATTGTTTCATCGGTAATAGGCATTGATCAACGACATCAGCAGCCATGATGATAATGGAGTGGTTGTATAGTTATGGTAAGTTTGTGTTTTTCCCTACCTAAAATCTCATTGTAATGGAATTTTGGGAACAATACCTATTTAGTTGGGTAAAATTAAAAATTCAAATATTTTCCATTCTATATTTAAATTTTAAAAAAAAAAAATCTTTCTTATTGGAAGGGGCTTACTAAAAAATTTCTTATTGACTATACCTAAGGAATCTCATTTATTAATTTGACGAAATAATTTCCTTGTTGATTATACTACATAAGGAATCACTTTTATTAATTTAACGAAATTTACAAACTAAACCACAAACCAAATCAAATCACACATGCATCAAGAAGATATCCCAAATAATTTGAAATTTAATTAAAATTTACATACTTCTCTTGCGTTAATCTGCACATGCAACCCTTATAAATATGGCCCAAAAGTGCTCACTTATAATGCAAAACAAACTTTGAAATTCAGCAGGTCCACACAAATCATAAAAATATGAAGAAGGCTAATACTATTTGGGTTGTCCTCTTGGTCATTGCAACTTGTGAGTTTTTTTTTTTTTTTTTTTTTTTTTTTTTTTTTTTTTTTTTTTTTGGAGTTAGGAAGGGGAAGGGTGATTTCACTCACACACACACACACTAGCAAGGTACCATGAGGGTTTGAATATGAGACCATTAGTCAGCAAGTTAATACCTTTTTCCATTAGGCTAGACCTCGTTCGCAAGTTTTGCTCACTACTTCAGTTCTCCCACTGGACTCATAAAAATATTTTTATTAGATATACATAACATTGACTAGTGATTTTGTTTATTTTTATTTTTTTTAAACAATGTTAATTTGCAGGTGTAACATTATTCTCAACAGGAGCAGAAGGGAAACAATTTTCTACTAACCAGGATTGTGACAAAACTTCATGTGTTTCAGAAACAGTTATTTGTTTTGACCACAAATGCACATGCTTGGATCCAATTGATTCTAATCACCAAAGTCAAAGTTAAACCTCTTTTTCATCCAAAAAGTACCACACTTGCTTGCTCTGCATCCGTTGATTGCTAAGATGTTAAAGCATCATGTGTTTCAAGAATAGTTATTTGTCAAGATGGAAAATGCATATGCCTTGATTGATATATCCATGTCCCAGCACTGCCACCAATCTAAATAAATCTCATCCAAAAGTGGCTCTATAATCTTTCTTTAAGAAATGATTAACAAAATATTTCAATAATACGCATGTTTGAGGGATCCCTTATATATAGAGAGAGCTTCTGTTAAGGGATCTCTTATTTGAGAGACACCTTTGTAAGCCCGCAACGCATTATATTTCACTAATCCAAACCGTTCATTTTGTAGATATTCATTCATATATTATCTTTACAAAAAATCACTTGTATCCGATATCATTTGACCACTCAATTAAATTATTGAAATTTATGTACTTTCTTGAAGCATTATATTCATTGATTTTCTTGGTCTCAATTAGATGCCTTAATGATTTTCATGATTTTTTGTAAGGATGATCTATGAAAGAAGATGTGAAAAATAATGATTTGGATCATTGAAAAAAATTCTTAGGGGACCCTAAAATTCATAGGGAATACCTTTTAGGGAACGATCCAAACTATCTATTTTTTAAGTTTGCATTCATAGATCATCTTTGCAAAAAATTAGACAAATCATAAACCGTTTCAATATCTAATTGTGTCCTACAAAATCAATGAACATGATGCTTTTAGAAAGTACAAATTTTCAATAATTCAATTGTGTGGTCAAATAATATCGGATTCAAGTGATTTTTATTGTTGAAATAATCTTTGAATGAATATCTACAAAATAGACTTCTTGAATTAGTGAAATACAATACAAAGTAGCCCCTACAAGGGTATCCCTCAAATAAGCTTATTTGAGGGATCCCTCCCTCAACTGAAACTCCCTATATATATATATATATTTGTGATTATTGGAACACCACGTCTTGAATTTTATCGAAGGAAAAATGAGGATAAAATGCAAAATATATCTTTTTTCTTTCTCACTTGTAATTAGTTTCTCTTAGCACCACATTTTTTGTTTTACATAATTAAAAGTCTCCAAATATAACCTAATATATATTTTTTGTCAGGTGTAGCAGGAGAGCAGAAGCGAGGATGAATGCTAAAAAATGTTCTTCAAACGCCGACTGCAGAACGTTTCCATGTGGTTGATCCACAAAGATTTGTTGTGACAACTATTGCGAATGCCTACTCTCAAATACTGGACTTGCACATCCAAATGAGGATCAATGTTCCAATTGTAATATCTCACATCGACCAATGGAGAGGGGGTGATATGCCTTATATGTACATGCTCATCTCCATCTAGCACAAGGCCTTTTGGGAGCTCACTTGCTTTGGAGTCATGGGAACTCCGAAGTTAAGCGAGTTGGAGCTGGAGCTGGAGCAATCTCAGGATGGGTGACCCACTGGGAAATTTCTCGTGAGTTCCCATAAATAAAACCGCGAGAGCAGAAAGGGGGGCCTAAAGCGGACAATATCATGCTACGGCAGAGCCAATCTCAGGATGTGATACCATTTCAGCTGATTGCACAGGAATTCCATGAACTTTAGGAACTATCGAATGTCTTGATATGGGCAATGCCTGGCAATAAAGGCACAAGGCTACATAATCAGAAATTCTAACATCCTGCCTGGCACCAATTTAATTATAAAAATTTAAATAAAAAAAAAGATTATATCAAGCTCATTAATGTTGCATATGTCCATATGTATTAGTGTGGGGTTCATTGCACTCGATGTATACAGAAATGCCTATTAAGGGATGCTATATTTCTTGATTAGTTAACAAGATTAAAGATAATCCATACTATCAAAGCCAAAAGTTGGACTGTATTATCTGGAAATTTCATATTATTTTCCACAAAGTTCAGATTTCTCTGGCATTAAAACTACCAAAAATGTCGACACGCCTATAGTATAAATATAGCCCAAGGGGCTCCTTACTATAGTGCAAAACGAAAACCTTGGAGAAGTTGATCATCACGATTCACATCCATCCATCTCAGGTGACAAAATCAAAATCAGACATGGAGAAGGCAACATCTAAGGCAGCTATTTTCATCGTCTTCTTGGTCATTGCATCTTGTGAGTTTTTTTCTTCATATATATCTTGTTGTAGCAGAACACTGTATTATATAAGGTCTCTAAACGATTATATTTTGTTTTGGGGGGGCAGGTGTACCATCCTTCTCGGAAGCCATGGTGATTAAGCGAAGATGCTCTACTACCGCTGACTGCGAAACGTTTCCCTGTTACTCAAAAGAGTTTAAAAAGATTTGCATTGACAACTTGTGCGAATGCAAAATACCAAATAGTGATGGCTCCGCCCAGACAACTGAAAATGAAAGACCATGCTCCAGTCAGAAGGACTGCGACAAAATTAATTTCCTATGTCGATCGGGAACCCTCAAATGTGTTAATGGGAAGTGCGAATGCAAAATACCAAATAGTGATGGCTCCGCCCAGACAACTGAAAATGAAAGACCATGTTCCAGTCAGAAGGACTGCGCCAAAATTAATTTCCTATGTCGATCAGGAACCCTCAAATGTGTTAATGGGAAATGCATATGCGTAGGCGTGAATTGATGGCTATTGGTTTTGGTCCAATCTAGAGAGGTGCAACTTAAGTGTTGGATTATTAACAAGTGGCTATGGCCTATGGGGATGTATTTATCTTCCTACTATGAATAATAACAACAAATACAAATGGTACTCGAATTGAGCATGGCTAATATTATTTATGCCTTATATTATATATCTTTGTGGTCTTGGAACCCCTCGATTTCTTGAGCAAAGGTACTAATGATAATTTCTAACATCTTGCCTGGCTAACAAAGATATCAACCTTATCTAAATGCCGGATGATGTGTTAGCAAGATTAAAGATAATACATATCTTTTCCCTTATATCTTAAACTGACCCTTTCATCTAACAACGCTTTTTCTACTTATTTTAGGAGATGAACATGAAGCATACTTGAAGTTGAGAGTTTTTAACTCTTCTCTAAATTTTAATTCAACAAGTCATTTACGGAAACCATCCATTAGATATGTATCAAGGGAGCATCCCATATAGTTTGGAAAATACTTCATTAACCTGCTATTTTTAGCTTTCTTTGATGTTAAAACTAGACGTGTGTGAACCCCTACAAATAGATACAACCCAAGAGACCTCACTTACGTACTCAGTGTAATACAAAGTAAACCCTGATATTCAGATTAACCCTAACATGTCACAAAAATCATAAAAACATGGACAAGTCTACCTTAAACACAGCTATGATGAGTTGGGTCGTCTTCTTGGTTGCAGGTGTAGCATTATTCTCAAACTAGAAAATTCTAGAATAATTGAGAGAATTACTAAGTAAAAGATGGTTGGCTCTCACTAGAACCATCCTAATAATTATTTATTGTAATTGTAACTAGAGAATTCCAGAATTATAGGAGTAACTTGTGGCTAAAAATGCCTTAGATAATTAAAGTCGCACAGTTACTGTACAACCGACTTGTCCAAGAAAAATTGTCGACTTAGCATCTGTATAAATAAGCATGCAACCCACTCAAAGTAATCAAGCTGAAAAGCTACAGCTGTCCAACTCAAGTAATCAAGCCTTGTACCTTTCCTGCTTCATTCAAATAAAACTACTTTGTTACTCTTTCAAAAGTTTTCCGTTCCAAGTTAAGCTATTTTCCTAAACCTCTTCTCCCATAGACTAACAGTGGTATTAGAGCTTGTTCTGATCAACCTTGGGCATTGGTTCACTCAAGTCCTTCATCATGTCTACCACTAGCCAGAGCTTTGTCCCTCTTCCTATTTTCACCAGAGAAAACTATGACTTCTAAAGTATTAAAATGAAGACCTGTATTTTATGTCTCAAGATTTATGGACATAGTTGATAGTGGCTTCAATAATCCAGAAAATCTAACCATGAAACATTGAAGGCAACTAAAGAAGGATCAACAAAAAGATGCAAGGGCCTTATATGCCTTGCAACAAGCCTTGCATGATACGACTTTTCCAAGGATTATGGGAGCCACAACTGCAAAGGAAGCATAGAATACCTTAAAGGAAGAATTTCAAGGCAATGTTAAGGTACGTGCGGTTAAACATACAAACTTTGAGAAGAGATTTTGAAAACATTAAAATGAAGGATTCTGAGACCACACAAGACTATTATACTAAAATAAAAGAAATAATCAATCAATTGAGAGCCTATGGAGAACATATTAATGATTCAAGAATTGTAGAAAAAAAAATACTTATAAGTCTTCCTGATAAGTATGATCCTTTAGCTATTATCATTGAACAGACAAAAGATTTAACTAGTCTATGACAGAATTAATGGGCTCTCTTGAAGCATGATAAAAGATTGAGTAGGCGAAATGAAAATTCAATTGAAAGTGCCTTTCAATCAAAACTTAATTTAAGGTCTCAGAATACTAAAGAAGGGAAAAAAAATTTGGAGAAAGTTCTAGAGGAGAAGATTATAAATTCAAAAAAAAAAAAAAAAAATTAAAAAAATAAAAAAGAAGTAAAGAAGAAGAGGAAAAACTATCCTCCCTACAAGGTGTGTAAAAATACAAACCACCTAGAAAAATATTGTTGGTTCCATGGCAAGCCCAAATGTCGAAATTGTAACAAATTTGGGCACATAGAAAAAGACTGTGATACCAAGAACTATCAAGCCAATTACTCAAAAGAAAGTAAGAAAATTGAGCATGTGTTTATGCTCCTCAAGCCACATCAGAAGGAAACAACAAAAAATGTTATATTGATAGCGGCTGTAGTAACCACATGGTTGGAGATGAAAGCATATTCTCCAACTTAGACAAGTTAGTAAATCCCAAGTAAAATTGGGAAATGGAGCATTGGTGGAGACAAAAGGAAAAGGTACAATCTATATCCAAACTAATAAGGGGTCCTCTGGCACGGCGGACTTTCATGGACTAGACTAAATCATGGGACTGTCTCGGATTAGCTTGGATTGGCCTAAGCTAGATTAAGTACTGACCTACATTTGGTGATGCGTCAAGTTTGGCATTGTTGTGTTGTGAAAATAATCACTTTCAAATTTGCTGTAATAGAAATTAGCTGTGAATGAAAGCAGTTGTGTTTGGTAAACTATGCTAAAAGTGATGTGGGTACAAAAATCAGTTTTCTAAGCGTATGGTAAACTATGATATAAAAGTGTTATAGTTATGTATAATGACTAAAATAGACATGATACTGAAAATAACTTTTTATTTAACTATTTAGTAAAGAAAATATTTTCACTTTAATTTATGCAAAGCTTGTACCAAAAAAATATTACACACCTCAAAAATATTTCAACTATAAAATAATAAAGGTAAACAAATAACAAGTTGTGAACTTGTGTACTGCACGTTTGCCACCTCAAATATTCTTTAAGCTTCTATTATCTATTGACCAGCCTCAAATGCCTTTAAGCTTCTGTTTCTCAAATGTATTCATCATTGGCAACGCCTCTGATCTTCCTTCCTCTCTCCCTTAATAAATAAATAAATAAAAGAATAGAAAATGCCTAAAATTCTTTGGATCGAGATTGGGCTGAACAATCCTCAGCTTTTTTATTCTTCCAGATGACATATCATTCTTCTTCCAGGTTCCTCTGCTATACAGAGCTTTTTCTGAGTTTACCAAAAACAGTTGAGTTCCTCTCATCATCCGAATCATATTTTTCTGTTTTTGTTTTTTTGGGCGGTCTGTTTTGCAAATGGAAAGATGTAGGAGTTTAAATAAGTAATCAAATTGGATAGTTTTCTCCTTGAAATTCTGACAAAGAGCTTGCTGGGAGAGGTAAATCGTGCAGGTATGTAAGAAAGAAGATGAAGGATAATTGATGTAATTTGTTTAAATTGATAAGGATATTGTTGGCATTTTAGAAAATTTCATTAAACACCACCGGTTCTCATTCCGCTTTCCGCATAAGCGGAAATGCAAAGCAGCCTCTCACCTGATTCTCCAAATAGCTGTGGTTGGCAGCGATTTCTCATAAAAAGTATATTTCTCTTTCTTTACCAAAAGGGTTGTGTAGCCAAAATTTTCGAAGAAAATGATTGTGGCCCCCAAATAACCAAACGGGTACTAAGGCCTATTTTGGAATTGCTGTCACTTTTAAAAAAAGTTGCTTCTGCTGTGCTTTGAAAATAATTAGCTATAAAGTAAAGCAGTTCTATGTTTGGTAAACAATATTTTTAAAGTGCTGTTAGTACAAAAAACAGTGTCAAAACCGTTTGGTAAATTTTAATATAAAATTATTGTAACTGTGAATAATGACTAAAATAGACATGATATTAAAAGTGTTGTGTACTAATCATGTGGTAGTAGTGGTTGTGATGGAGTGGAGGTGGTGGTGATGATGAAGGTGGAGTTGGTGGTTGTTGTAGTGGTGGTGGTAGGGATGGCACTTGTGGAGGTGGTGGTGGTAGTGGCACCATGGTGGTGGACATGGCAGCATGGTGGTGGTGGTGGTGGTAAAGGTGGAGGAGGTGGTGGTGGAGGAGGAGGAGGTGGTGGTGATGGTGGTGGTGGTGGTGGCAGTGGCGGTGGATGTGGCGGTGGAGGTGGCAGTGGTGGCAGTGGTGTTGTTGGTTGTGGAGGTGGTGGTGGATGTGGAGGTTTTGAAGGAGGTGGTGGTGGTGATGGTGGCGGTGGCAGTGGCAGTGGAGGTGGCGATGGTTGTGGAGGTAGTGAATGTGATGCTGCAAGTGGTGGAGTTGGATGTGAAAATGGAGATGGTATCATTTTTTAAAATGAATGATGGTATTTTGGGAATTAAAAAAATTCATTAAATGTTCATGTCTGCTTCTTTTGAAAGCAGCTTTGAAAAGTAACCCAGAGCCTGCTTTTAAAAGCTGCTGTTAAAAGGCCACTACTTTTAAAATAATCAAGATATTTTATTTTTACCAAACACCTTAAATTGCTTAACTTTAAAGTGAAGCAGATTTTTGGCCAAAAAAAGCAATCCCAAACGGGGCCTAAAAAGCTAGATTATAAAAATAGTGAAGACCTATGTTTGGTTATGTGTCGTACTAAAAAATAATTCTTATAATATTTAAATTTAAATGGGTTTTTTGACCTAAAAGATAAATAAATGCTACAAAAAAAACTCAATTCAAAGATTTATAGCAATATCTGGCAAAAATAAAAAGATTTAAAACAATAATAAAAAGAAAATAAATAAAATTCTTTTTTTTAATGAAAAATAAAATTATGATATTTGTTTTTGGGCTTCCCAAGATTAATCGAAACATTGTTAAGAGCTAAGCTCACTCTATATAATTCTAGTTTTTCAGGGATCAAGTAAAATAATAATTAAAAAAATTATATATATATATATATGTATAATTTTTGTATATTTGACTTTTGACTTCAAACTGAAAAATATAATTTGACAAGGTAAAAATTGCTTACGATAAAGAAAGCACCACATCATAAATTATTAAACTTGTTTCAATATCAAAAAAATATCAAACATTTGTAAATTACTATAGTTTGATTTTCCAAATGCAATATCAAAAATATTATTGTAATATTCCTGATTGTGAAAAAGGTGCACATATAAAAAAGAAGGCGCTTCACGCGCTTTGAAGTTTTTCACTGTTTAGTGAATCAAGTTGTATTAAGAAAAGGCTAGGTGCTTTCCATATGATATGAGCCTTGTTATTAGGTTTGTTGTTGTTCTTAATGACCTACAAAATGTAGAGCCTAGAGGCTATTGAGCCTTGCTATCATCTCTAATTTCTTGCTTTGCTGTAAGCCTGTAAGCTAGTTCTACATGGATCCCAATCTTCAAATTTTGTAGCTTATAATTTCTTGTTATTTTTAATCCATTTTAGATTCTTAGCAAAAGTTGTGGTTGTATTCTTGCACTCCTATGAAGGAGAGTATATTCCACCATTATGGAAATGTTATTTGCAGATCCCATATTTAGTAGCCATTTTCAACAATATTATTAATTTTGTTTTATAATATGAAACTTACTAAACAAAAAATTATAATATGATCCTGTAGTTTGAAATTTTGTTCTAGTCACATCCCAGGGAGGCAGTGGTGAGATATGCACTTGGATTGCATGTAGATTTTTCTTCCCATGCTGTCAAATGTTTAAGCCTTCATAATAACCTGCATAGTGCAGATGGAAATCATAATTTTGAAACAAAACTACTAGAAATAAGAACCAGAGCTTCTTATGGAAAGAGCAACAGAATAATGACAGCTAAATCATTTACAGGGCAAAAGCCTAACTATTGTCTTTTTCTTTCTTAAAAAATGCAGATTTATTAAACAAACTAAGTGGATGACACACACCAGTTGACCTAAAGAGGCCAACAGTCTTCAACACTGTCAATTGGCTGATCCCAATCATAATGAAATTTAGATTTTTCTTCCCCAAATTCCCCAGCAATAGCTCTCCCAACTGAAATTCCCCCCAAAACTACAATGACAGATTAAAATATCAATTATGAACTCCAACAAGTCCATATATACCTTAAAATTCCACAAATTCAAAACATTAAAACACATAACCAGACAAAATTTGTATACACATTGGCAAATGCAATTATACATTTACTAAATACCCAAAACCTTGATTTCTTTTCTTTCCCATCCCAACCCAACAATATAATTATTTCATAAAGAAATTGAATATTTTCCTATGATGGTTTATTTCATTATTGAAAGATTTGTGCTTTCAGCTGCCTCAAATTTCAACTTTGTTGCATTTTGCTACAAGATTAAATTTTCATTCTTTCATTGCAACTGCCGATCAGATCCAATGGTCGAATGGGCCTTTGGCTACGGGGATGAGTTTTGGACCGTTGGATGTACAACGTATCTGAAATCTAGTCAATATGAAACGTCAATATTACCCTTAATGCTCTTTGTATTCTGCCAGGGTAGAATCGACATAAGTTTCAGGACTGATCAGATGAGAGCTCATTGTATTCTGCCATGAAAGGAAGAAGGAAAATCATAAGTTTTAGTAATTATACCACGACCAAGTGGTCCTGTTTCTTGAGAATTGAGGACATTTGGGTGAGAAATTCTGCGTTTTTCATTCTACCTACTTGTAACAAAAATGCAAGATGGTGATTTTGCAATCTCTTTACCAACCAGAACAACAATTCTCTACGAAAAATAATGTGTACAGTAACGTAATTTAGTTTTGTTAGTTTTGAGAGGCATTGCAAACATGTTTGAGTTCCCACATTGGAACACTAGAGTTTCTTGGAGGTCTTTATAAGACTTACTTTTGGAAATAGAACAGTTTGTATTGGCTATGCAAGTGGCCCAATTGAGTGGTTTGTGGGTATGGCCTTTTGGGTAAATGCCTAATTAGTTGGGTCAATGGTTAATTATATATATATATATATATTATTAATCAAAAGATGGGCCTTGGGCTCTCGGAACATGAAAGTGCTAAAATCTTTATACGGGTAATAACTTTGAAAAAGTAAAAAATAAAAAAGGACAATAGATACTCGAGTAATGGCCAAATAATAACGGATAGGGTCTTGGGCTATGGAGAAATTTAATTAAGACACCCAAACGATTTCACAATAGACCACTGCGTCAGAGAGAGAGCTGCACGAGAAAGAGCTGGGCAAGACAGACTGAGAGCTTTCCTCGACAGTGAAAGAGAGAAGAGAGAGTGAGAGCTGACCGAAGAGAGAGTGAGACCTGAGCAACGGAGACAGAGAGAGTTGAGTGACAAAGAGAGTGAGAGGCGTGATAGAGAGAAAACAAAATTTCAGCATAAGTGATATGTATGCAATAAGTGGACAATAAATCTATATATATAAAGCCTATATATATAAAGCAAAAGGCAGAGAATCATGAAACATTCAAAATACCAGAAAATGCCATTGGTTAATTCAAACATTAAGAATTGAAATTATTAATTAAACGAGGATAATATGGTAAATTCACATGTTTTCATATTAAAAAAATTTTAAATTAAAAACAAATCAAATAATAGGTCCTACTTTTATGGAACATAAATACCCATGTTATCTTTTCTTAATTCTAAAAATAAAATATAAAAAAAGAAAAGAAAACCAATTGGCACATGAGTGAGCATGTGCCAAGGGGCTAGTATATATTTATAGGTGATAGTTGCAAAAAAAATTAAGGAGGTGGTATTTTCAATTAAAATTATAAAAATGGTGGCATTTGAGCTATTTCCCTTTTTTTTTAATCCTGCAATAGATTCTCAACTCCAAGAATTAAATATCTAATTTAGTGATCAAACAACATAGCTGCTTATTCTGGGGTCGACTTTGGATCCCCATGAAGTGAATAAATCTTTTAGAATTGATGATATTTGTCAATTGGTAGATAAGTTCTACCCCCAAGACTTCGAAGATCATACGAAGATAGGTTTGAGAAGACAACTTCAACATTTTGAGAGTGACGCCCTTCGACTTCCAGAGTTCAAAAACTTGTCAACAATTTCTAATCTATCTTAATGGATGGTAACGACTAGAAGATCAACGACATATCCACTTATTTATAGAGTGGTTGTGCTTGTGCTTACTCTTCATGTTTCTACTGCAACTGAAGAGCGATTATTTTTTGCTATGTGTATAGTAAAAACTAGGCTTCATAACAAGATGGAAGACGAATTTCTCACAGACTCTTTGATTATGTACATCGAAAGGGAAATTGTAGAAAAGTTTATCATTGACTCAATCATAGATGGTTTTCGAGATGTGAAAGAACGACAAGTGTTATTTTGACACCTAATTGAATAAACAATTATTTTTTGCCTTATATTTTTCCAAACATTGTTAACGTTGAAAATTTGAAATTTTTTAATTTCTTGTTTGGTTTATATGTTGGCCACCTAACACATAAATATCTGGCAACGCCACTGTATACACAAGTACAATTGACTTTTCCTACAAGGAAAAGTAATTAGCTAATTACAAGGAATCCTAACAAAGTAATTATTCTAATTAGGTAACATGAATTACACCAGAAAATCAAGGATCATGAAATCCCTGAATTATGGCTCACACCAACAACAATTGTCTTTTGACTTAGAGCATATTGCATGTTGAGCTATTAAGAAATTCAACTTTTCTTTCAATAGGTAGAATCTCATAGGAAGATCACACAGCTGAAATCACTACCTCAAAAAGTGAGATTTATTTTTCTTTCAATCCCATCAAATATTTAGATTTATTTGTTTTTATAAGATTAGTAGTGAAATTATTCACGGTATACGTTTTATAATTTATAACCATAATTGCGTTTTTTTATTTTTATTTTTTATTTTACAAAAGAGTAGCAGTGAAATCATTCACAGTACGTATGACCTAAATGGTAGTTGACATGAACAGAAAATCCAAAATATTTATTCAAGTATAAGAAGCAGCATGTGATCATTATTTACAAACGGGTGCACATCTATATATGTACCTTGGAATTTGCTGGATATACAAAGGGAAAGCAAAAGGGTAACTGCTTCGTTGCAAAGCAAAATATTATATGGTTGACTAACGTTAACAAAAGTGAAAGGAATTAAGCATGGGACTCAAAAATTCCAATGTGTTAGATTGGATTAAAATCAAATGCGTGCCTCACAAATCACCCAAAAACCTGACTTAGAGTTATGACGCCTCCCCTAAGTCAAAGTCCACATGCAGATGCGTCTACTTAAAGTCTTCTAAGTCAAACGCAACCAAACCACAACACATGTGACAGGTCTTCTCTCTATGCCTAGGCCAATTTTATTTGGACCCC